TTGGAGTCCGTATTAAGTTGATTGTTGAAAGGTACAAAAAAAAATAAAAAAAAGCAAACAATATAAATAAATTAAACTTTATTTCAAATATGCATATAAAACAATAAAATAATAAAAATAAATATAATATACGAAATAAAATTATTTACAAGCAAACCATAATATGATTGAATGAAATGCAATAAAATAAGTAGGCACGTCAAAAAATTAAATTGATATAAAAAATTAATAAGTTTAAAGTAAAAGAGTTTATATGAAAATGAAGAGAGATAATTTTATATAAAGTGTGGTACATCTGAATATAGAACCTAGAAAATCCCATGTAAATTTTGAAAATGTCAAATATTTCCTCAGATAATTTTATGAAAAAGTTGTATTAGACTTTTTGTGAAGAGGCCTTAAAGTTGTACTTTCGTCTAGAATTTCGTATTTGGAATCGGCATTTAAATTAGCGATGGGAACTATCGAATGAATTAGACTATCGAATGGTTACTGAATGAATGATTTCAACTATCGAATGGTTTTATTCGAATAAAATCATTCATTCATTTGTATACTAAAGCATATGTGACAACCTCGCCGTGCGACTAAATGGTTATCCTTGAGCCACGACTATCGAATGCTTTTGATAAAAGAAATTTAGTATTCGTTTAATTTTTGTGTGCGTGAGTGCATTATTAGTTCTTCCAAATTTTTATAACTTCGCCTTATAAATACTGTGCTGTTTTTGCGTTTATTAAAATATTTAAAATACTGAAATAGTAGTTTTTTTAATTGACGATTGTGTGCGTGTGCTGGTGGTCAAAATTTTTCCGAAAATTTGTGTGATTTTCCGTAGCCCGATCTTTCAATTATTTTATTTTATATGGTATATGGTCTATTTTTTAATGAAAAATTTTTAGAAGTAGCAATTTTTAAGAGAGATGAGATGAACTTAGAATTAATTTTAAAAATACATATTTGTATTTTAGATGTTTTAATAATATTAATTAGTTGAACTTAATAATCTTATTTAAGTAATGTGGTTAAGTAAATGGGGTTATCGAACTCAAACTATGGGATGAGAAAATTAAGTTGAAAGTTTTACACGTGCCAATTTAAAAAAAAAAGTTAACGATGTTTGTATTTTGTTTATGCTAATTCTCTTACGTGTAGTTTTTTGCGAAGAAATATTTCATTTATTTTTTAAAGTAAATGCCAGTAAAAGTAAATATAATTTTTAAATAATAATATAAAGTACCTAATATAAATAATTTTGATTTCTAATTTTTTATTTATATTTTCCTTCCATTACACTGCATGCTTAGAAAATTAATAAATGTTTATATATCGACTCTACGAAGGAAATGCAATGTTGAAAAACAGTTCTGGTAAGAGTTCTGAGTAGCACCCCAAAAGTTCTATAAGATGTACTATTTGATTTCTTAAAAATACCAATAATTAAAAATTTCATTGGTGCCCGACTCTATAGATAGACATAAAAATCGACACTACGAAGGAAATGCAATGTTGAAAAACAGTTCTGGTTAGAGTTCTGTGAGATTCTTTGATATTTATATGAAAAACAAGAGAATACAAATAGTACGAATGCAAAGTTACATGTATTTATTAGCTTCAAATTTATATAAAATATAATTTAATCTCAAAAGGGGCAAAATAATTAAATCACAAATTTAACCTTACAAAAATACGTACGTTCTTACCAAGAACGCTTTGTATAGTACCTTTCTATACTTCTATATTCTATTTATAACGACTCAATATTTTATAAACCCATGGTATTTTTAGACGCAGCCTTTCTGTAATAAATTCTCTGGCTTTGTTTTTATTAGGACGAATCGGCCAGTTCTTGAACAACTCGCTCTTGTATTTTGTTTGGGTGTCGAGTTACACATACACCAGATAACGATATCCAGTGTGACAAAACTAACCTAACTAACGGAGGAAAAAATTAATATATCATGTTACATAAATATTCATTTAATCAGTTTTATTGCCACGTAATTTAGAATCAATCAGAGCCAACCAAATTTTCGATATAGTAAGTTTTATAGATGCAAAGTAATTCCATCTTTTTATAAAATTTCTGTTATTAAAAACTCTAGTCTGACTATTACTTTGCTATTACTCAATATTATGTTTTGCTCTTAAAGTCAACCTCTATGAGACCTATTTTGAGAAAAAAGAAAAATGCATTCTTCATAAAAATATTGGTTTGTTCTAAAATGGTTAATTCTGTTTATACTTTTGCTAATTGCCATACCGTTTTAAAGAAATTTAAAGAAAACATGAAAATATGGTTGAAAAACCCTAAAAATCAAAACGCGTTTCTGTGGTAATATAATTTCATCTTCATTCTTTGATTGTGATTGATAGAATTTTAATTAAAGCCATATTTTTTGCTGTTTTGAAATGTTAAAGAAGCACAAATCTTTTTTAGTACAATACTACGAAGTGTGACATTTTAAAAGAGCAAAAAATATGACGTTAATCAAAATTTATAATAACCATCCATCAAAGAATTTAGTCGAAGTTATAGTATTTATCATAGAAATGCCTTTTGATTTTTAGGACTTTAGGATCAAATCAAATAATACTTCCATGTTTTTTTTTAATTTTTTCTAAAACGGTATGGAAATTTGGAAAAGTATGAACGGGATTAACCATTTAAGAACAAGTAAAACTTTTTATGAAAAATGCATTTTCCTCAAATCCGACATACTGCATAACGTCGGGAGTAAATGAAATTTTTAAATATTAATATTTAAAAAAAATCAATTGGCACAACTTATAGAACTTTTGGGGTGCTATTCAGAACTCTAGCCAGAACTGTTTTTCAACATTGCATTTCCTTCGTAAAGCAGATTTTTATGTTTATCTATAGGGTCGGGCATCAATGAAATTTTTAATTATGGGTATTTTTAAAAAATCAAATAGTACATCTTATAGAACTTTTGGGGTGCTATTCAGAACTCTAACCAGAACTGTTTTTCAACATTGCATTTTCTCCGTAAAGTCGATTTTTATGTCTATCTATAGAGTCGTGCATCAATGAAATTTTTAATTATGGGTATTTTTAAAAAATCAAATAGTACATCTTATAGAACTTTGGGGTGCTCCGTAAAGTCGATTTTTATGTCTATCTATAGAGTCGTGCATCAATGAAATTTTTAATTATGGGTATTTTTAAAAAATCAAATAGTACATCTTATAGAACTTTTTTGGGGTGCTATTCAGAACTCTAACCAGAACTGTTTTCAACATTGCATTTCCTTCGTAAAGTCGATTTTTATGTCTATCTATAGAGTCGAGCATCAATGAAATTTTTAATTATTGGTATTTTTAAAAAATCAAATAGTACATCTTATAGAACTTTTGGGGTGCTATTCAGAACTGTTTTTCAACATTGCATTTCCTTCGTAAAGTCGATTTTTATGTCTATCTATAGAGTCGGGCATCAATGAAATTTTTAATTATTGGTATTTTTAAAAAAATCAAATAGTACATCTTATAGAACTTTTGGGGTGCTATTCAGAACTGTTTTTCAACATTGCATTTCCTTCGTAAAGTCGATTTTTATGTCTATCTATAGAGTCGTGAATCAATGAAATTTTTAATTATGGGTATTTTTAAAAAATCAAATAGTACATCTTATAGAACTTTTGGGGTGCTATTCAGAACTCTAACCAGAACTGTTTTTCAACATTGCATTTCCTCCGTAAAGTCGATTTTTATGTCTATCTATAGAGTCGTGCATCAATGAAATTTTTAATTATGGGTATTTTTAAAAAATCAAATAGTAAATCTTATAGAACTTTTGGGGTGCTATTCAGAACTCTAACCAGAACTGTTTTTCAACATTGCATTTCCTTCGTAAAGTCGATTTTTATGTCTATCTATAGAGTCGTGCATCAATGAAATTTTTAATTATTGGTATTTTTAAAAAATCAAATAGTACATCTTATAGAACTTTTGGGGTGCTATTCAGAACTCTAACCAGAACTGTTTTTCAACATTGCATTTCCTTCGTAGAGTCGATTTTTATGTCTATCTATAGAGTCGTGCATCAATTAAATTTTTAATTATTGGTATTTTTTAAAAATCAAATAGTACATCTTATAGAACTTTTGGGGTGCTATTCAGAACTCTATTCAGAACTATTCTTTAAATCATTTTTTACCTAGAAAATCGATTTAAACTGCGCAGGCTGCCATTTTATTTTTGTTCATAACTTGGTTAATACAATAGAACTATTTTGATCAATAGTCAGGAACTATAGAACTCTTGGTCTAGAATATATTTCCACTATCAGAACTGTTCCAGAATAAAAAAAGGTGCTACGTGAAGTTGGCACCCCCCTGTCATATCTCCCGAAATTAACCAGAACTATTTTTCTAACTTATCAAGAACTATAGAACTATTGTAAATCTATCCAGAACTCTCAAATTCCAGTTCATTTTTTGAAAAAAAGGGTGCCAACTTCACACGAGTGACATACTATCCCTAACTAACTAAACCCAAACAATAATATTCTTTGCTAATATCAACTAATACCAATATCTGGTAACAGCGCCCTTCATAATGTATTTTCTGTGTAAATACTAGCACCTCAATAAAAACAAATAATGTGTCCTTATCTTTATATGACTCCGCAAAAAATCAAAGATGCCGGCTTCTTTCATAGCATTGCCACCGACCGCTGTCGGGTTTCTCGGAAAGAAACCTACGACGCCGGGCGACAACTAAAATCCAGTTAATATTTTATTTTAATCGATCTTGACGAATAAATGAATTTCATAAATGAATGAATTTTATAAATGAATGGTTTTTGCTGCCGAATTACTAGAATACAATATTTCAAGGCAGATGACGCATCTATTCGATAATTTTTATTCGAATAGTTTTCAACGAATGTTTTCTTACTAGCTATCGAATTATTCGAATGAATTGCAACTATCGAATGTTTCGATAGTATTCATTCGATAGTTCCCACTACTAATTTAAATGTTATTTGCAAAAATCTACCTTTAAATTACTAAAATTTTATAGTAAGGCGCCGAGAAGGCTACAATTAAAATGCGAGCAAAAATGTGATTTTGATATTGTTAAATTCGATGTCACATTTTGTTTACCTACGAAAATTTGAAGGTACCAAATATAGAGTAATTTTGTATAAAATACGAGTTTCACAATTTCCCAAAAAGTTACAAATAAGTTAGTTAAATGGCATTTTATTAGAAATAGTATCCCTGCTGTGTTAGATATGTGCGGAGCTCAGTCTCCGGATAGACATTTCCGAATATAATTTAACAGTTTGAAGAATAATCCAGAGATTTGAAACAAAGCAACTGCAAGTGTGAAGATAAAAATAATAAACAGGGAGGAAAACAATGTCCTAATGTTGAAGAAAATAAAAACACTAGTTCTCGTCTGCTCGGTAGGAAACTTTCACGTAGTAAAAGACGATATCACTATTCTTTGGACACTTACGAAGAAACTAAGAAACTGGGCGAACTTTCGGCGGATTGTTGTCCTGAACATTCCCTTATAGTTACAGAATGTTTACAGGATGCGTCCAAAGGAAGTATAATTGTGCTATATTACACCATTAATTGATCAGAGACCTGGCAGGTATATTATGGTCATTGGCTGTGAATAGGGGATTACTGAACATTTTATTAATTAGATGAAGTTTTGTGCCATCTATACACGTTTCAGTATACTTGCGCAAGTCTAGACTTGCTAGAGTTAAGAAAGCTCACTACAACCGAGCAATTTACAGGTTTTCGGCGCACCGATATGATTTGGATGTACAGTCGACAGCACAAGCAAGAGATGTCTCTGAAATTAACACCAGCGTGGGAAGGACCGTACATTGTGGTTAGAAGATTAAAGGATGTTAAGTATTGGATTGTCATGTACAAAACATGCCAGGTAAATTCGGACATATGGAAACCCTATTCCAAGAGGACATCAAAATAACCAATGAAAAGTTTTCTACAAACTATAGAGGGTAGAGGTAAGCATTTTTAAAAGTATATCGGTAAGGAGAATTATCTTCGTGTTTGGAAAAGTAGTCATGAAAGAGGGTACAATTAAAATAGCGCTACTATAGCAAAAGTTCTACATTTGAAGAAGGAAGGCGCCTAGAAAGAAATCGGATAAAACTGTTATTTAATCATTAGTGTGTTATAAGTAGTTTATCATAATTATGGTCACGTAATAAATTAGTTCAAGAAGAACTAGTTATAATAATTAATAACATTCAATATGTGTATAATAAGATAAAACATACATCTATAACACCCTTTGTCAGATCATTTGCAGTACAAACAAACTCTAATAAAGTATAGCAAATAGGCATGGGTTATTAGTTATAGATGATAAAAATAGTATCAGATGTGATATGATATTCGACGACAAAATTTTTACTGTGTCAACCTCTATGTGTCATCTATCAAAAACTTTACATACAATTTGATAAAAATTAATATTAAGTATATTATAATTTTATAAAACTCTAGAAAATTGCAGTGTTAAATTAGGGGATGTCCATTAAATGTATTCTCTTTTAACTTTAGATGAATTAAATTTTATACATATTTATTTTTAACTACCTGAACTCTTTCAACTACCTAAAATACATATTACATTAAGTTTGCTACTAAGCAGGTACCTAGATATAAATAGATATGAAATGTGATTAATAATTTACTAGCGTCATCGCAAAAATACTGAATATTTATCTAACTTGCCCCGAATATGAGAAGAATTAAAATAATTATTAATCTATGCAAAATAAAAATGTTCAATAACTTGTAATTTACCTCCTAATGAGAGCAAATCATCCATGACATTGCTTTGGGCTACAGCTGGAGCCGTAGTCGCTGATGTTAAATTATCTTCAGCAAACAAGTCTAATATTGCTCCAGATTTAAAGTTTTGTTTTTCTGATTCCTCTTCACTCAAAAATGGATTTGTACTTGTCAAACCTGGAGAACCTACATGAGCTCTATATTCATTCAAAGCAGCTTCTTCTTCTGCTACCGCAGCTTGCTTAAAAGTATCATCCATGGCTGATCCAAAAGCAGAACTTGTATTTGATAATACCGACATTCCTGATTTTAAATTTTTTTGGTTTGCAGCTGCAGTTGGTGTGTTACCTTCTAATGAAGCAAGATGCTGTTCTAATGCATCTAAAAGACTATTTGGGGCTTTAGTAAGATCAGGAATATCCCCTTTATCTATACCAATATTTTCTGCTACTTTTAAAAATTCTCCTACTCTATCCATTCTAATAAGAAATTTTTTGTATAAATCTAATGCATCTCTGCATTGTTTTTTATTTAATTCAAAATATTTTTCTAATAAGTTAATTATGCCATCATTATAGCAAGCAAATAAACGTATTAAATCTCTAAATAATAGCATAAAACACATATTTATAACACCATTTGTCAGATCATTTGCAGTACAATCAAATTCTAACAAAGCATCTAACTGGTTTTGTAATATTGGTAGAGTTTTGAGTAAATTTTCTGCATCCATTGTACGTAAAGTACCTTCTTCTCTTCCACGCTTTACTTTACAAAAATCAAAGGCAACAGCTCGATATGATAATGCCTTTTCATTAAGATACTTAGCATACCTTCTAATAAAAGGGGACATGTCATAGCCCGTCCTTGCGCCAACGGCGCTTTGTACACCAGTCTTATCTACAAAATTTGAGAGGTGAAAGGACACATTACTAGAAGCTAAATACTGTGTAAATCTTTCATTTCCATAGCACATCAAATGATGAGTAGTTATCAATGATTTGAAAACAACTACCCAGCTTGTATTTTGAGATCTTTCAATTAATAAATTGGCCATTTGGGGTATAGAAACATTAGGTTCATTTGTGCAATGTACTAGGTAATCTAAATGCTTCTTTTTCGGACCCAACATTTCCTCGGTAGTTGCCTTGCATACAGATTTGGCGAGCCCCTGACCAGCTAAACTGTGTTTCGCAGCGAGAAGTCGGTCATTTATCGTTTGACCAGCCATTATAATCACGGTTGCACTATTTTTATTTTAATAGAATATATTTTATATATTAGCTTTAATACTAGATTATTAGAACAGTTTTAAACATAGGTTTTAAAGATTGACTGAACCGGCAAATCAATAATTTTTCCAATTGCGCCATCTCTTGAGATAGAAGAGCAGCATTTATAGGATTCTGCAAATCTCAATTTTAATTGAGATTTACAGAATCCTGCCTCTATTGTATGTTACCAAAGAGTTAATGTCATTATGCATTTGCATTTACCTATCTATGGTCATATAATTATTTTGTATGCTTGTCTGCTTATGTCAATTATTTTATGGCTTATATCAATTAGTTCTGTTACTTAGACAAGGAAAGAGAGGGGACAGCTAACACGCATATTATTCTTCAGTGAAAAATTTTTGAGGCCAAAATTTGATCGGTGGCCATACTTTGGTGACAAGATTTCGAGGTGACACCCGTGACACAAAGCGAATTTTTATGCTTTTTGTGAATACTGCTGTGGAATACTGTTTTGTTTTAAATTTATAAACTGTGTTGTTTAGTATGGTGAAATGTTCAGTGTATGGCTGCAAAGGCCGAAGGGAGAAAAAAGTGGCTGGAATTACATTTCACAGGTAAAAATCGACACACAACTTTTGTTATGTGGTCATAAAATGTAATTTTTTTCCATTATAGCAGTAAAAATATGTAAAATGCTTTTAATATGTCTTGTACCACATCCTAACAAAACTATTTTTAATAATTCCAAGTAGTATTTTTAATATCCTGTATTATAATTAATGTTTGAAACTATAAATAACGCTACTCAGCATGGATTTCTCCAGCGGCGTAGGGAATTATAATTAGAGAAATACAATTTCTGCAATAAACATTTTTTTACATATTTTACACGTAAAAAAATGTATAAAGTATTGTTATCAAATGGTAAAATAATTGTAAACTATAAAAAAAATGAAAAATTCTAGTGATAAAAAATTTATATGTATATAGTTGTTATATAAAACTTAAATTTACCTGCCAAGATTTGCTGGGGGTGGACAAACTTGTGGTGGGCTACTTGTTACTATATTTTTTTAAATATTCTTTCAAAAAATTTGCTAATTTAGGTGTATAATAACAGTTTCAGTAAGTAATTAATAAAAATTTAAAAATAAATAAAATAACACAAAAAGCTTCTAGAATTGTTTATTTTTTTTGGTGGAATATTAGAATATTCTTATGATTGAAGGTAACAAATATTAAAAATTGCATTATTCATTGAATCCGTACGCAACTGTGAAGGGAATTGGCTAGATTCATTGTTATACCGTACGATCGAAAAAAAAAACGACGTCCAGTTGGCTTGTAAATGACGATCGACAACATTCCCCATATAATTTTACATATAAAATGACAGCGATCTTCATTTCATAGCCATCGCTGACGCCGTCTTTTTTCGATGTCGTTTTGTATAGTTTTTGTCATTTTATATGTAGAATTATATGGGGAATGTCATTGATCGTAATTTACAAGCCAATTGGCCGTCGTTTTTTTTCGATCATACAGTATAATAATGAATCTAGCTAATCCCCTTCACACTTGCTTACGGATTCAATGAATAATGTAATTTTTAATATTAATTTGTGAAATTGTCATTTCCAAACAAACAAGACGCCGTTTTTTTCGATCATACGGTAATATGTATATATACATTTAAAACATATATATTTACATTACTTTTTATTTAATTATGCATTATACACACGTTAATAAATAAATAATTGTCTTGATAATCAGTCCACTGTGACTGTTAAATAAATTTTGCATTATCGACTGAGATATACTAATATTATAAAGATGAGACTATAAAATACAAAATTGTATATGCATTATTCAAAAATGAACGATATATTAGTTTACGTTTTAATAAATATTTTATACCGTCTAGGTACAAGCTAATTTCTGATGCTACGCCATTGGAGAATTTCGAGTGGTGACAACTTGCCTCACTTTTAGCTGCCGTGTTACCTGTCCCCTCTCTTTCCTTGTCTATCCAGCTGTTTGAATTTTGTACAAATCTGATTGGTTCTTTTGATGTGTCGCTGGAAAGGTCGCTGGCGACAGTCGCTGTTCTGAGAACGGGGGTGCGACTTTGTTTAAGTTAGCAACCGATTGTTTAGAAGCGATGTCGAAACCAGGGGTGCAACTTTGTTCATGTTTCAAAGCGATAGCAAAGTAATTTGTAGCTTGATGCACTATGTTCAGTAGCAACATCGATTCGTAGCGATATTCTGATTTCTCGCTTTGTGGCGAGGCGACAGTCTAGACACGTGTGCAAGAGTGTGATAGTGATACCATATTTCGCAGCATTTGAGCGACAATAGTTTTGCAATGAACATAGTATCGATCTGGGGTAAAGGTGTGGATCCGGTGGCTGACCTTGAAGCCCATATTTGCTGCATTTGATCATCGATACTACGCAAGCGCACATCGTCGATGTTGCCAAATTGCAGTTTATTTTCGAATTATTTGCAGTTGAAAATTTTTTTCAGTGTTAATACCTAATACAAATTCTATAATTAATTTTATAACTTCAGATTTATCTTGATATCCAAAATTAAGGTAAGAAGGATAATGAAGATTGTGAAAAGAAAGTATTATGAATATATAAAATTGTACGTAATAATAACAGAGATATGGAAGTGGTTGAATAATAATAACATTTATTTATATATTTACATTAGAAATTATCATTTACGGATTTTTTCTAATGGTTTTAAACTTATTAGAATTATTTTATTTCTTTCAAGTTATTTAATTTCTAGTTATTTACAGGCAACAATAGTTTTCATTATATTATGTATATTGATGTTTTGAAATATTACCATGACGAGTCTTATAGAACAATACACGTCAATGGGAGATAGAGGTAACATATTTTACCTATAATGTTACTAATATAATATACTTTGATTGTAATGTTTGTATCATATAATTTCTTAAAAATATCAAGTTAGTGGATTAATAGCAATTTTAGACATATATTTTATCGAAGAGTGTTGATAAGACTAAAATAAGCTTTATGTTTTATCTTTTTCTCTTTAGAAGGGAGATGGTTTGTATCGTAGAATACATTACAGTATTTAATATCGTGTACTTTGATATTCTTTTCTTAATTTACTGCAATTTCTTGTTTCCTATAATGCCAAATCTTGACAATATGGTGAAGGTTGAGTTTTGATCTTATTAGTTTTATACCTGTGTTTATACAAGACCAAATTAAGACTTAGTTTGTGATTTATATTAAGATCTTTCTTATAATATTTATTATGTCTTAATCTTATGCTTTGTCTGGAAAATAAATGTTAAAATATCTTAATTTTGCATATCCTATTCCATCCTTCCATTAGGAAAAATATGGTTTATAAATCATATTATAGCTAAGAAAATCACATAAATTAGGTGTAAGAATAGAGAAATCTTAAAGTAGCAGAAAATTAATGCAATATATGTATAAGCAGAATTAGACAAGGTAACAGTTAATGTTGTTGAAGCTGATTCTGCTGGTTTTAAGTACGGAGGCTAAAAAAGACCTTTTAAGGCCTCCGTAGTTTTGATGGAATGTTAAAAAAAACTATTATGAACATGACGCTGGAGCTACGTCCTTTAAAATTAAAAAAAAGAAAAAACCTTGTACACATCCTTTTTTAATTTCCCGAATTTTTTTAATAAAGCACTTTTAAACATAGTATAATAATCTAGAGCAATTAGATTAATTATGGGAATCTAGAGTTTTATTTCTTTTTAATTTTATTGACTATGAAAATACATAATAAGCGTTCACGTGTTGTGCGAAATATTAAAATAATAATATAAATAATATACCGCGTACTATGATTGAAAAAAAAATAGCGTCAGCGATGACTATGAAATGAAGATCGCTGTCATTTTATATGGTAAATGTCCTCAATCGTCATTTCCCAGCCAACTGGACGCCATTTTTTCGATCATATGGTATATATTGACAAAAAACACTGAAAAGCACATATTTGTTTTCTACTGAAAATAATTCCAAAATAACTTGCAATCTGGCAACATTGAAGATGTGCGCATGCGTAGTGTCTGTGACTATATGCAACAAAAACTCGTTTCAAGGTCAGCCACCGGATCCGCACCATTACCTCGATCTGGTTTTGACATCGCTTCTAAACGATCGGTTGCTAACTTGAACAAAGTTGCACCCCAGATCGGGGGTGCAACTTTGTTCATGTTTCAAAGCGATAGTAAAGTAATTTGTAGCTTGAGGCACTATGTTCAGTAGCAATATCGATTCGTAGCGATATTCTGATTTCTCCAGGATTTCTCGCTTTGTGGCGAGGCGACTGCCTAGACATAGCCTAGAACAGGTGGATGACACCATAAAATAATTAACTAGAAAGAAGTGTCAACTCTGTGTTAAATTGTGGAAACACGATACGCCACCAAAAGCCTTCGTTGTCGTCTGGAGAACTAATTTTCCAATTGACAGGTTGACATGATGGCTTAATTTTCATTTCCGTTTCCGGTTATTTAATGGCGGGTCCTCTTTCAGTTCAAATGTATTTTGTATTTTTTCTTTTCATAAATAAAACTAAAAAATAATTTATTCACATATATTTATTTGAAATATGGAACAACGTAACTAAATAAATATTAAAATATAGAGGATTGTATTGTTTCAATACAAATTAGTTAATTACATGTACTTTTAACGTAAATTAGTTAAGGTATAAGCATGACTTACATTAATTTGTAAATAAACACACGTATTCGCAGACTTCAAGGACAGAAAACGGACACAGGAACATAAAAACGGGATCCTTATACAAAAACCTGAAAACAGAAAAACAAATTTTTTTATACTAAAATTAACAATGTAAAAATATCAATAGGTATAAAATATAAATATACTGTTTAAAAAAGCGTCCATTATTCCCAAAGAGACCTGGCTTATAAATCAAAAAGAAGCACAAAGAGACTTTTAGTCGGATAATCTAATCAGATTATTAGTCCGATTTATTGCATTATTGACAATAAATCGCACATACTGGAGATAACTAATGTTGACAATAGT